TTTATTTGCTGTGTGTTATAGTGAATTGTGATAATGTTTGCCTACTGGCTTAGAGCATGGGCAGCAAGCTCCCAGCTCCGCTCCCAGCTCCGACGTGGCCAAGCTCCCAGATCAAAGCCCCTCCAACAGCCTCCGAAGCACTCCCAACGACCTCCCAAGCGGTGACGTGGCGGCCTCCAGCTTCGGAGCTCCCAAGCGCTCCACAAATTTGTGGAGCGCTTGGGAGCTCCCAACTGGGGGAGGATTTACAAAAACCCCCCTCCAAAATCAGAAATCGGCGGTGGGATCGGAGACTTCGGGGTGGGATCGGAGACTGAAGGCGGAGATGATGGCGGAGATGATGGATGATGGCGGAGATGATGGCGGAGATGATGGATGATGGCGGAGATGATGGCGGTGGCGGTCGAAGAATTGGGTCTGTCGAAGAATTGCGGTGGCGGTGGCGTTCGGAGACTGCGATGGCCAGCTGGGGTTGGGTCGGAGACGATGGTGGCGAAGGGAGAAGGTTTGGTCTGTCGAAGATTTGGGGATGAGGGTTTTTTGGTCTGTCGAAGAATTGGGGTTGGGTTTGTCGAAGGAGAAGAAGGATTTTGTGATTTTTTTTAAATGGATTGCGATCTTTGATTTTAACAGGATTGCGATTTTTTTGGTCTGTCGAAGAATTGGGGTTGGTGTTGGCTTTGATTTTTTTGGTCTGACGAAGAATGGATTGCGATTTTTTTAAAAGGATTTTGTCGAAGGAGAAGAAGGATCTGTGATTTTTTGTCGAAGGAGAAGAAAGATTTGAGTTGTGAATTTTTTTCTTGTTGATAATCGAACGTTGTGAAAATCAGGCTGTTGGAAATATTGACGTTGTGGAATCATACCGTTGGGAATATTAACGTTGGAAATATTGACGTTGTGAAAATCCTGTTGAAATATAATTAAAAGAAATGGGTGAAATATTAAAATAGAAGAGGGGTTTTTTTGATATTGTTGGAGCTCCTAACTAGGAGCTTGTTGGAGCTCCATAAAAGAAGGAGTGCCTCCCAAGGTATAATTTATTAGTTTTTTATTTTAAAAAGCTTGAGAGCTCTTGAGAGCATGCTGACTAGGACTCCCAACTGGGAGCTTGCTGCACTTGCTCTGAGAGAAGAGAGTGAGACAGGAGAGAAAAAGAGCTCGTGAGTGAGAGAGAGCACGAGAGATTAAAAAAAGAAGAGGGGGAAACACGAGGAGGGAATTGCGGGAAATGAGGAGGAAATTAAGGAGTGGGGATAATGATTGGAGAGAGAGAGTAGCTAATACAAGGGAACCAGAGAAAAAGCCAGATAAAAGATTGACTATCGTGCTGATCACCTGATAGCTATAAATAGAGGTAGGGGATAATGGTGCAAGCTAAAAATTAATACATATAATTAATAACAATAATAATAATAATAACAATAACAATATAAATAATCAATATTAATTTTAAAAAGTTTTCACCGTAACAATTTAATTTATAATTAGCAAAATCATTAAAATATTATAATACCGTACTTTTAAATCGTAGAAAATTGGGGAAAATACAAATACTCTTTTAGAAAAATAATCTTTAATATTTAAATACCAGAAAATTTTATTCAAATCAAAATCGAAAATCACGGTCCTTACACTCGCGATCTCTCACCTCCCCACTTCCGCTCTCGCGATCTCTCACCCTCCCCACTTCCGCTCTTAACTAGCGGTGGTGACGACAACGAGGAGGAGATCCAGTCTCAACACCGGCGGCGGCGGCGGCGGCGACGACGGCGGATGAGGACGAGCTTCACCTGCAAGCCCTAATTTCACCTCCGGCGACAACGGTGATCATCGAAAACGGTGAGAACTTCTCGATCCTCTATCTTTTGTGGATCACGCGAAATTTTTGGACTTGAAATTAGGATAAGGTCAATTGATTGGGATTATATGATTTCTAGGTCTTCTATTGTTGTCTTGTGTTGATTTCATTTGGGATTTAGCTGTATAATTGGGTTATTGGGCAGATAGGGTTTTGAAAATTTGGGGGAAATAGTTCAATTTGAGATTTCGGTTGATTTAGAAGCATTGCATGTTGGAAAAAAAAACAGGAATTTCACCCTTGTGCATTAAATTCGTAGCAGTTGTAAAGAACACAAAGGTTACTTATTTCTGACAATGGTATAGCTGTTTCTACTGCAATTGGGGATGAAATTAGGCGTCTTTAAACTTATAGGAAGGTGATCTCATCTAGTTTCATTGTTGGTAGCTCTTGTTTGGGCTAAGGAATCAAGGGTTTAGCGTGGGTGATTTTGGTACTTTATATATAGCTATATACACATTGAAGAATTCAGATGTGAAATTTCGAGTAAGCTTAACCCACTTTTGCATAGAACTCATATCAGTATACTCACTAGTATAATTGTATAAAGATTAAATTTAAATTTTTAACCATGCATATCTAGATTAACCCATAATATAAGCATTCCCAGTCACTAGTTAATCATGCATACACCTAGGTGAAAAGCTCATAATGCGGTCATTCAAAGTTTACTTGCAATCCAAGGCTTGGTGGTGGCAATTTGGCTTATCTTGCCAGTTATTATTATACTAGGCTTAAGATTCCATATAGCAGATGCATCAATCTTTTTTCCAGATTTATCCCTAAATCTTGGGCAGTTTGGAGGACGCCAACAACCTTTTAGTATATTAATAGAGGATAAATCTTTGTTGAATATCTACAACACATGTTCATAAATCTTTGTTTTACTATGTATTTGTTTGATTTTGTCTATAATTATGTACATACTGTTTAAGAATCATTAAATTTTATTCATTTACAATTTTATATATGGAAGTATATTAATAGAGGATGCCCAGGGGCTCAATTCTAAATGATTTTGGGGTCGACTAGTTTTCCCTGTTTTATAGTTTCAAAGCTGACTTATGCCTTCATTAGCCATCAGTCTTTGGGTAGGTTTTCATTTTCAGCAATAACACAGTCAATCCTGAATCCATATTATGGTCAAAATACCTTGTTTTCTTTTCGAAGATGGCTGATTGTTGAGTTAACATTTTCCCCTCCTCTCCTCCTATAGAATACTGCAGATTCCAGGTTGCATACTGGCAGGGATTTTAGGTGTTATTATCGACGTGCCTATGCTTAGTCTAATAACTATCTACAAGCTTCCTGTAATGTTGCACGGTCTTTAAGAATGGAGCTGATTTGGTCTTCTTGTTATTGTTTCAAGTAATTCAAGAACTCGCAAAACAAGACTTTCTGAACCGAGGGGAGGAAACTACAAAAGAAATATAAAGTGAAAGTGTGTAAGCATTAGAAAGAAACTCTCATTCGAATTAAATGTAAAAGTCTTAAAGAAACTAGTGTGAGAGCAACTTAAGCATAACACCATGTAACGGCGAAATATTAACTTCTGTTGGTTTGTATTTGTTGGATATTTTGGATCTCTAGTTTGTTGAATTATTATATGCAATATTTGAAGTTTTTACTTTATTTATTGTTTTGGTTAGTGGTGGATGAGTTTACAAAGTTTTATTGATGAATGATTTCGGTTATTTTATGGTGATTATTAGGTCAATTATTAACGTTACTATATTTGAGAATTTAAGGTATTTTATCTATATGTCAAGTTAGTTGGATATGTGATATACTATTTGAGGTATTTATTTCCACCAATTTCAATGCAAAACTTATGTAATTTGAGTATCTTATTTCTAAATTATATTCGAGCTACACTTTTAGTTCAGAAATTAGAATTCTACTAGTTAGCAAACAACTCAATTCAAATTTTTAAAATTGTAATTCTAAAGTTTGCCAAACATGAATTTCAAATTAAAATCTGGAATTCAAAATTGGATGTTTCCCAAACGAATGAATTGAATTTGAAATTCTGGATTTCAAATTTCAAATTTCAGATTTCAATTCTGGAATTTGAAATCAAATCCTTGAATCCAAACACAACCTTAGAGAATTTGACATTTTGCTTCCCCATTTTAGAGAAATTATTGTGAAGCTGTTGGAGATGCTCTAATGATGAGAACAACAATTGACATTTTCCTACTTGCAAAATCGTCAGTATGGCATTCATTTTGGGTCTTTTTCAAACCCCTTTCAACTCAATAATAAATTCAATAACGTGATTAGTTGGGAAACAGATTTAGCAAATGACTCAACAATTGCAATCGAAGAGGATTGTCACGTTTGCAATCTACTTGCAAAACCTCTATTTTTTTAACAAAAAGACAAAAAAACTAGTTCAACGCCGTACAAACTTTTGTGAGGCACATTTTAAATCCTTAACTAATCAAGATAACTATATTATCCCGACCAGCGGGCAGGTTGCCAAACGGGCCCAAATCTTTACATGATTCTCGATAGAGGGCCCTCTGTAGGCTTTCCTTAGTACTTCTGTAGTTATATAATGCCTGTGGTGCAAGTTTAATTTAAAATAATGATAGGGACACATCCTCCACCACACTCTTAACCATACCATCTCTGTTGCTATAGTATACGGGACCCACATAAGATTTTAAAAATTAAAATCTCATGTGGGCCCCGTACACTGTAGCAAGAGAGGTGGTGTGGCTGGGAGTGTGGTACAGGGTATGCCCCTAGTGCCTCTCTTTAATTTATCCAGTTGCACGCACCCCTACCCTAGGCAAAGTATTTTCCAGTCTATATTTAAAATGGCCTAACCTTAATTTTCTTAAACCGGTCATTGTCATTTTCCAGATACAATGCACCAAAAAAAAAAAAAAAAAACAAAAAAACTAATTACAAGTTTTCCTGCATCTCTAGCTCTTCATTTTGCAAACTAAATGAGCACAAGAAAATTACGGTGTTTGATTTCAGTCATTGACTCGTATACATTGGATGATGAGAGAAAGGAATACGTAATCTTTATAAACTTCAAACGCTAGCATTTGTTGACGAATTTACGAGAATTGAGTGTCAGTTGCAGGCGCACCGTTTAGAGCCATAGAAAAGAATTTAGATTGAACATTTCAAAAGGCAAAAAAACCGCGATCGCAAACCGTAAAATTTTTAAAATTACGTCTAAAAGCTGCATCTATATGCATACGCATACGATAGCAATAGCAGCGGACTGTAATTACATGCAACTGACACTTGCATTGCAATTTCCCCGAATGAGACATCATCACGCGATTTCGGGTCAGTAGAGGAAATCGCAATGTGGCAAATATGTGGACCTCATAACTACCGTTGGAAGAAATTATCTCGAGGACACGAACCCAATCAATATACGCCTCTAGAATTCACTTCCACGGTCCACATACACAGAACCAATTTGTGTGGCTCGAGCTTCCTCTTCTCTCCAAAACTTGAGGCTATTATAAACCACATCAACACCACCAACTCCCTCTTAACCCTCAAAACAAACATAGTCCAAACACACACAATTGTGAGCCAGAACAAGCGCAAGAGCAACTCTTCTCAAATTCTGTCAATGGCAGCGTCTCTAGGCCTCTCCTCCGCCTTCACCGGAAACTGGGCCTCCTCGTTTTGCGGCGATGAGCGCCGAGCTGTGGTTTTGAAACCGGTGAGCGTTCGGGCTGCGAAGCCGGTGAGGTCGAGTCCGAGGATGGGGAATGTTAATGAAGGGAAAGGATTGTTTGCTCCCGTTGTGGTTGTTGCTCGGAATGTTATTGGAAAGAAGAGGTTCAATCAGATCAGAGGAAAGGCCATAGCCCTTCACTCACAGGTCTGTGCTTATTTACATAGTCACTTATAACTCCTAATGTTTGTATGCCCTGCTCAAGATGATGCTCTCATAGGAATCAAATAACAGTAAATTACCTTTTTACCCTCAGTTTAAGCGGAAATTTAACTAAAGTGATGTATTATTTCAAAAATTAATAAAACTTGTAATCCTCTGGGATTCAGAGGGTGTGAATACTAATAAAGCGTATTCTATTTCCAAATGAAAAAAGGGTAATACTTTTGGAAGAGAAAGTACTGTCTAACTTTGAGAATGTTCATAGCTTATTTTGATTATAGTCCAAAAGACACTTGCATTGAAAATTTGTGTGAACAAAATAAAAAATGTGCAGGTTATTAATGAGTTCTGCAAGTCAGTAGGAGCAGATGGGAAGCAGAGGCAAGGGTTGATCCGCTTGGCGAAGAAGAACGGAGAAAAGCTTGGCTTCCTGGCTTGAAATTTTAAGACAAGAATTATTCCATACTTCAAATTGCAGTACATGTTAATTTTGGTGTTAAATGTTAATACTTGTTTCTATGTTGTAATAGAATCATGCTACACGTACACATACTGTTATTAGAGATCACTGTTATTAGAGATCTACACATGATGTCTCATTTTTGCACTTGTTCACTTTATGAACTATTCTGGGGTATCTTAGACGTGTAATAATGTGGTTAATGTTTTTTTAAAGGAAAATGGCTGTAGCCTAATGTGGTTAATGTTGCTAGGGTAATTTCCGTTAGAATGTAGGTACTAGTATGTGCTATTTTCATGCCCATTTAAAAGTTGTGATATTTTTCTTGAATAGAACTCCAAACAGCTCATGGCAGTTTTGTGACGTTTATTCGACTTGACACCTCAACATCAAGGCAACTTGAGGTTCAATTTCCACAAAATGTGGTTCTTGTCCCAATTTTTTAAGGGTCGGCTACATGAATTCTCTTCTTCGGTTTAGTTCTATTCAGTTCTGATTATGATATCTCTTTCATTAACATATCTTACTTATTTGCTTCCAACCAAGTTCTTTTGCACATGCCATTAGCTCTCCTTGCTCAATTAGTTACAATCTTATCAAAAAAATCATAAGCAAGTATGATAAATGTAAATTAATATAAAAAACTGAGAAAACTCCACATATGGGGTCGATAAATCTACTTTTAACTGATGTACTGTAAGTTTTGCAACCAGGTAGTTTTCTACAATATTTGGTTTATTTTGAACTACATTTGTCGCGCTACAATATTTTCACTAACCTCTAGGGGTGGTAAACGATCGAATCAAATCGAATACTAAGATGTTTGTATTTGTATTTGTTTAAAATTATCGAATTAGAATGCGGACTCTAATGATCATATATCTAGTTTTTCGAATTCGAACTCAAATACTTGGTATTTGATAAATATTCATGAATATTCATGAATACTTATCGTATATCAAAGTATATTTACTCCGCCAAAGAATTTGATCTTCAAATAGTATTAAAATCCATAAATAAGAATTATTCCTTTATAATATATGATGTATATATATGTATTTAAATCTAAATTTTAATTAACAGATTTAAGATTATTTAAGTCTTAAAATTAGTATATAAAACTTAAATTTAAATCTAAATTTTAATTAACAGATTTAAGATTATTTAAGTCTTAAAATTAGTATATAAAACTTAAATAGAAATGGTAAGTGGGTTAAAAATATGACATCATATGTGCAATAATACAAATAATAAGTTGTGCTCAAATTTTAAACGAATATTTAATAGACAAACGAATCGAATATACATCTAGTTAAATTCTATTTGTTAGTAAACTCGAATACTAAAAAATATTTATTTAGTGGTAAATGAACTACCGAATCGAATATGACCGAATAATTATTCGAACAATTATCGAACTATTTGTTAATTATTTGATTCATTTCCACCCCTACTAACCTCGAAAAGGAAGACGGCCGCAATGAATACCTCTTTTAGCACAATCCAGCGGGTACACACACAACAGAGGTTGTACCTTTTCAACCGCCTGCAGATATAAAACACACAGGTTAACAACTTTGATATCATAGGCAACTTGTAAAAATAACAAGCTTTAATCTCTGAAACATAAACTCCGGCTTTATATCGATTAACCTCATATCTTTAACTATGGACGACTGCATGTAACAAGTCCTGCACACTCAAATCAAATCAAATTCATCCAAGTAAAACCCAGGTGTTCATAGATATTGTAGAAGGAAAACACCAAAATGAGAAAAATATAAATATAATTTTAAGATAATTCACAATCTATTTTCATCATGTTTGGCCTCTAATTGCACCGTTTAGATGACAGTCAATCTTTTGAAGCATGGTTTCAGCTTTCCCCTTGCTACAAGCACTAAAAATTCCTTTTTTTGTTAGGGTATGTGGTGGTCGTGGGGTGGGTGGCGGGCCGTAAAGACGGGGGTGGCCCTAACTCGGGTGATTGCTTAAAGGTACTGCGTTTCGACCACTTATCCTTATTACCCACTTCCCTGGAGCCGTCTACTATAGTTTTCCCTTTCACAGAAAAATTTCCTATTTTTTCTTGATCCTTCTCTGATAGATTGTTTAGAAGTAGGGTTAGGCTCGAAGATTGGGCATTTGAATTGTCTAGATTACTCAAAGATGGTGTGAGCTTGTGGATGCCTGATTTTTGCTTCTCGAACATAATTTGAAGCTGCCTCCATTGTTCTTCAATTCACAACTGTAGCTTTCTCTGAATCTAGAAGGAAAAAAAAGGTAATACAGATTTAAGGAAAACAGATGGGGCTGATTGCTGATAGACCACCTCTTCTATGACCAAACAGAACTTACTACCAATGTAGTTCTATTGTTGCACATAGACTCCTTGAAAGAGTTCTATTGTTGCAAATAGGCCCGTGTGAAAATCTATTGTTGCAAATAGACCGTGAAAAGGATCAAAAAAGTTTCACTCTGGAGGTCTATCTGCAACAATAGAACTACAGGCAGGGGGTCAATCCGCAATTAACCCAGAAAGATATCAAGTTCAATTAAGTTAGGAAAGTACATCTCTCCAGCTAAAGTTCCCACTATGAAAAAGGTAACTCTCTAACATAAGAAAATACATTTCTGGACTAAAACATACCTCAAGTTGTTCATGAAGCTGTTTTTGGACTTTTATCTGTACACGCAATGCTTCAGTAATCTCAATACCCCTACCAAGCAGAACAAAGTCCAGGTCAGACTTTCTTCTAGTGAAAATAAAGTAAGCAAATTAGCATATTCTACAAGCATGCAAACTTAAAACATCACATTTTAATAGATCCGGTGGTGCAGTTAATTACTTTTTCTCCATACAAGACGATCTGTAATTTTTGCGAAAGTACTGAGATGGCTGGAGTTTCCTAACATGAACATACAGAAACATTTAGCTCAAGAATGAATGTCTTCCGTCTTGAGGTCTAGAGATGACATTTCATCCAGCATATTGCTCTTCTTATCTGATGTCTCTGCATATATCGAAGTAAACAACATATTCAGAAAAAAGCCACCTGTCCACATTTAATGGCTTCTGAGCAGAGATAAAGATATTAAATATAGAGGACTACATTAGGAACCACAACATCTAGGAGTTATGACATAAAATGCAGGTATTAGAACTGTGTATTCTTCTTGTCATAAAAAAAGTTTAACTGTATGAAAATAAGGCAGTGCTCAATAATGTAAGGAGATGATGATCAACCTTCAGATGAATCTGGTTTGCACTGAGCTGTTCTTCATTTCTGCAAAATAAAATGATTCAGTTATGCATCACTTGAATAGATATCCAGAAGAAAACTGAGAGAATACCTGTAAGTGGCTTTTGACATGGTACATAGTCAAGCTATCCACTTTCATAAGTTTCAACACTACTTTAGGAGTAGCCTCTGTAATTGACCACAAAAAAATGTCATATATTTTTATATTTTACGAGGAAGAATACACTGAACCATATGAATAAGGACTAGCATACTTTCACTGCCACCCAGCTGATTAACAGCTTCAACGACGAGTTCATGGAGTTCTGGGTTCAACCACATCCATGGCCTAGCTGGAGCATCACCAGCAGAGGTCGAGGGACTGCTGACAGCACCTAGCTCTCCGAAATGAGAAGGAACCATTTGATGGGTCTGTGGTTGGTGTACTGAAACCTTTGAAGACATTGGCGCTGCTGAATACACAATCTCACATGGAAAAAAAAACAAAGTAAATTCCATAAGTTGCATGCTTAAGATAACTGGCCAAAACAGAAACCAAAGGTAACCAACTCCCAATAGATTCTCCCATCATCAGTATAAGGGAAAAGAGAAGATGCACTAAACACCAACCTGAATAATGCAATCATTAATTCTTTCTAAAATGTATAAAATCAACTGCTGATAAAAGATCGTGGGAGTAGTTCTGAATACATGAACTTAAACCATTTTCAAACAACAAAATTGACTTCCAAACACTGATATTTTTCACACTGATATTTTTCATATAAAAAGGCAAGATACCTCGCGTTGAAGTTCATTAGCACTTGTGTTCTTTGAGAATATACTTTCATTCTTCGTTCACTAAGTCTGACCACCATTCACTTTGCTTATTAAGGTTATTGGAAGGTATATGTGAACAGATTTGGATTTGATTGTTCCCAGATGTAACCTCTTCAGAACAATCAAGAATACCCTTTAGCAGATCCCGACACTAGGTGATTTTATTAAATTCTCCATTGTAGTTGTCGATGGAGATTGAAATGTTCCTGCGTGTGATGACTGTGATTGAGGAATACATGGAGAATTATTATTGTGCCTGACATTTGGTCCAATAGAAGAATACTGGAGATCTGATGAAAATAAAGCTCCAACAATCAAGAATACTCTGTAGCAAATAAAATATAAGACTTCAAGTTTTCCATTGGTAAGATAAAACCACAGAAAACAATTTCATAAAGAGTCAGTTTACTTCCAAAAATCACAATAGCAAGTTTCTTTTTTTTTTCCTTTTGAGCTGTAACTAGCAAGTAATGATTGAAAATTACTAATACCGAAGAAGAAGAAAGTGGTGATAATGGCCACAAGACAAAAAAATTATAAGTGTCTGGTTGTGTTTGATGTGAAAACTTCGCAAAGATTGATGCAGGACGAATGTCTTTTTCTGGTATATAAAAAATTTTCTGCATGTTTTTTTTTTTCAGATTTCAAAATAATGATCAATTCATGCTTTGACAAATGGTTGGATCTTGACATTTGTTTGAACTGTCCTAAAATATCCAAATTCCAGTGGCTAAAGAATAAGAATGCGTCTGGGGGTCACTTACCCCACTAAATGACACAATCTTAAACAAAACATGAATACATGTAGTAGAAAAACAATCAGCAAGCATCAATAACATGAAACTGGATGATCCACAATCATACCAAGCCAATTCAAATGTTAACATTTTCACTAATGTTATACTACTAGTTGCTGCCTTTATATTCCCTCAATATAACCAAAATTCAAAATGCTTCCTAAAATCTATT